TCCTGCTGCCTTGTTTCCCAGAAAAGTTCTTAGAATAATAAACATACAGTATGCATGGGTTAAAGATGTAAGTTACTGTAATAAATATAAGATGGATAAAGACAAATTCACTTGATGAGACTTACCACCGTAAAGCTTGACCAGAAGTTTTTATCTTTTTAATTTTTAAAAAATATTTATTTTTATTTATTTATTTATTTATTTTTAGGGCTGCGTCGGGTCTTAGTTGTGGCATCCAGGACCTTTCATTGCGTGCACGGTCTCTTTATTGTGGGACACAGGTTCCAGAGCACGTGGTCTCTGTAGTTGTAGCATGCAGGCTCTTTAGTTGAGGTGCGAGAGCTCAGTAGTTGTGGCACGTGGGCATAGTTGCTCCGCAGCATGTGGGATCTTAGTTCTCCAACCAGGGATCAAACCCACGTCCCCTGTATTGGAAGGCAGATTCTTTACCACTGGACCACCAGGGAAGTCCCTGACCAGGAGTTTTTAGTTGGCAGAGAATGGATTTCGTTTGACACAGACATGTGATTAAACATAAAACAAACATATGAGACCATCAATTTCTGAATTTCATTTCACATTATAAGATATATCTATCAAATACATCTAGAGATTAGAGACAGCTGACAAGTTTGCTGGCAGCAGGTGTCCGTTCATTTCCCTGCTTTGTCTCTGGCTAGAATCATTTGAACTCCAAGGCAAATTTCCAGCTTTGACCTTGCACAAATTCACCACCTGATGGCAGACAGCCATCTATTTGTTCTCGCCTTACTATCCCCAGCAGATGGCTCAGAGATAAATAGCCAATAAATCACAATTTCCATGCATGAGAGGGTCCAACTACAAAGTGCTTATTTGCTTTTAAAATTGGTTCTGTTGCTGCCAACTAGACAGAGTCATTTAGTCAAAACTTTTGAGTGATGAGCTATCTACATGCCATCTTCTTTCCTTTTGGAGTTGTAGCTGTTGCTTATGTATTAGTTAGGATTTGCCAGAGAAACAAAAACCAATAGATGTGTATATATACAGAAAGTAATTTATTTTAAGCGATTGGCTCACATGATTGTGAAGACTTAAAATCTGATGGAGGAGAGAGACAGACTGGAGACTCAGGAACTCAGGAAGGAATTGCAGTTCAAGTCCAAAGGCAGTCTGCTGTAGAACCAAGAAGAACCAATGTTGCATATTATCTCCCGAGGCAATGTGCTGGAGAATTCCCTTTTGCTCTGGAGAGATTAGCATTTTGTTCTATTTAGGTCTTCAACTGATTGGGTGAGGCCCAACCATATTATGGAGGGTAATCTCTTTTACTCAAAATCCACCAACTTAAATGTAAACCTCATTCAAAAACACCCTATAGAAAGATCCAGAATAATGTTTGACCAAATAATTGGGCATATGGCCCAGACAAGTTGACATGTAAAATTAACCATCATAATTTGCTTGCTTGCTTTTTTCCTAATTTGTTGTTGGCTGTCTTTTTTTGCTCCAATCCTCTTAGGTCCTTGGGGTCATTATTTCCACAGGGCTTATTTCATTCAAAACCTTGTGATGATCTGGAAAGTTCCAAGCTCACATTCCAGCTCTCCCACTGGCTAGCTGAGTAACAAGGCACTTTACCACATAGCCTAATTCTTCCTCAGAGAATAGAGATTCCTAAGTCATACGTTTATTATAATGATCAAGTGGGAAAAATCCACATTGATGAGCTCTGTAAACACAAGTTCACGTTGAAACTACTATTCGAAACTGTGTTTATATATCAAAGGTACTACCTTTCAAACCAACAAAGGAAAAAACAGAAAGTTCCTCACGTGAAGCACATTATAGTTGTGAATAACTGGCTCATTAGAATAAAGAAAGATCAAATTAATACATCAAGTTTATACATGAAGGGACAATGATTTTAAGAGTTAAGGAAAGCTTTAAAGACCACAAATGATTTTTGAAGATCCCAGTAACAGTGTCAAATTTAAAGTATACAGAATATTCATGTCTAAAGGCAGGGAAATGGGGTCCTGTGAGAACTGAAGCAAGGGAGCTTAGGTAAGATGCACCTGTTCACAAGAAGCTACTCAGAAGAAATGGCTAGAACTTAACACTTCCCCACTTTCAGTGTACAATTAACATCCCACATGTGGTTTGATGTTGGATTATTTTGTGATTGTCAGTCTCCACTGCTCAAGGAGTGTCTCCAGTTCAGAATCCTGACCAGATTGTTCTTGCAACTCCAAGGAGTGAAAGCGTTTTTGCGCTTACCTCAGTCTCAAGTCCGCTTACTTAGTCCTGATTTCGGCATCAAGGCAGATCTTTTCTAACATTTTAGATTGCAGCTCCTTTTACAGAAAATGTCCAATCTCACAGGGGAACCTTTACCCTCTGGTCCCACCAAGTCAGTAGTCCAACATTAGTGGGGTTCCCAAGGTCAATATCCTTTAGTCTTAAATAACTGCAACCATGGGACAAAGGTGGGAATTCATTATGTTCAGGCCTGTTTCTTTGTGTGTGTGTGTGTGTGTGTGTGTGTGTGTGTGTGTGTGTGGTACGCGGGCCTCTCACTGTTGTGGCCTCTCCCATTGTGAAGCACAGGCTCCAGATGCGCAGGCTCAGCGGCCATGGCTCACGGGCCCAGCTGCTCTGCAGCATGTGGGATCCTCCTGGACCGGGGCACGAACTCGCGTCCCCTGCGTCGACAGGCGGACTCTCAACCATTGCGCCATCAGGGAAGCCCCAGGCCCGTTTCTTTTCAAACCTTCCTCTCCAGAAATTCAACAGATCTTTAGGTCCTGCCTTACTCAGAGTTACTTATTACTAACAATGTTATCGTTCAGTCCTACAATCTGTTAACAGAAATTAGTAACTATTTCTGTTTGAGACTTGTTGGGCCACCTTATACCCAAAGGGAGCACATCATTTTCTCATTGAACTAAAGATTATGGGGGTCCAGCACATCTCCAGAGAATACGGCACCAAGATCCAGCAAAGACCACATCAGAAACATCTTGCAATGTCCTTGATATATGAAAAACAAAGTAATTTTTTCCTACCTCGTTGATAATATACATACATGTTCTTAAAAACAGCAGTGTGTTTTTTAATGTGTCAGACCAGCTTTGATGCTGATACTATGCAAAGATTTTTACAACAGCAACTTTTTTTTTCAGTGTGAGAACTGGAACAAAGAGAAGTTTATAGTGTGTGTTTTTTCTTTTTGTGATAATGGATGTGTGGAGAACTTTCTTGGGGCAGCTTTGCACGGTAGACAGTTCTATTTCAAATGGGCAAAAAATCAGTTTTATGAACACTTTGCTCATATTGCTTCTCTACCACTTTCTCTAGGAATGCCCCAGCGGGGTTGTTAATGAAGACACCTTCAAAGAGATTTACTCGCAGTTCTTTCCACAGGGAGGTAAGTACAAATGTGGACCAGTGAATTGTACTCTCAGTTAGAATTATTAATCATGCTTGCAATCTTGAGTTTGGTTTAATCTTTCATGGCACGACTCTACATTTTTCATCTTTACGTCAGAGAGTTAATACACAGTATGCAGTGCATACGATTCTCAATACATCATAAAAGTGAGCTACTTACAAATTATCAAATATCCTAGAGTTCTCTCTTTAGCTTAATGCAAGCAGTATTACTGTGTGCTTGATACCACATCTCTCAAAGGCGCGGTGCTTTCTAACTATGATGGGTGAGTCCTGGATATGCCACAAAACTTTCACATGCATTATATGTCTCATTCTCCCAACTCTCAAAATTAGGACAAATGGAATTATCTGCAATTTTCAGATCTGAAATCCAGGGCTTAGAGAAGCTAAATGTTTTGCTCAGAGTCACACATCCACTAAGTGGCAGATCTAGGTTAGAACCCAGATTTTTCTGTAACCTCATCTAATATTATTTCTGCTCTTCCTCTCTCTTTCAGGAACTCTCCACTATCACCCCTACCCCTGCATCTAAGAAAATTAATACCACCCTAGACATTATTTTAATTGGAAAGAAAACAAGGAATGCATCATGATAATACATACCTGTTAGAGATGAGTGAGAGATATATTTGCCACTGGACCTTATAGTCTCTCCTTCAATCACTCAGCAGGATGCCCAGCTCAAACTTGTCCTGCAGCCTGCTCTGTGTCCAGCTGTGTATTAGGTGCTGATGATGTAAGAGGGATGAGATGTGGTAACTGCCCCAAAGAATGTTAGAGTCTAGAGTAGCAGGTGAACAATGTCAACATAAAAAAATAAATGTGAGGATAGGGGTTAAAAATACAGTATTATAAAAGCACAATGTAGGCACAATTAGACAAGCTGAACAACAGGGAGGAAATTTAAAAAGTCTATCCAGATAAATTGAGCCTGAGCTGAAATAGCCACCTTTCATCATGTATATAATACATGTCTGGCCTTGGCATGTGTTACCCATCACCCCCCAACAACCCGAGTTATGGTTCTCCCTTTCTAATAAATGTGGAAACTAAGGTGCAGAGGAATTCATCCATTTCTTTGCCATCATCTTTTCACTTCAATTCCACTTAAAAGATCCACCATCATCTGATGCCAAAACTGCTGTGGTCTCTGAACTAAGCCTCCCCGATTCCACGCCTCTGCTCTACTCCCCAGCCATGCTGTATTTTCAACGTGAGCCAGAGTAATCCTGGTAAAATGTAAGCCAGGTCGTCTCACTGCTCTGCACAGAATCTTCCATCCCCTCAGAGCATAAGCCAAGGTCACCGTCTCCTGTTCTATCTCTGCCTCGTCCTTCACCAACCCTCCCCTTCACTCACCTCATTCCAGACATCCTGGCCTCTTGCCCTTCCTCCAGCACAGCAGTCCTGCTGCTGCCTCTGGGCCTTTGTTTTTTTATTTTATTCTTTTATTTTTTATTTTTGGCCACGCAGCATGTGGGATCTTATTTCCCCCCACCCAGGGATTGAACCCACACACCCTGCAGTGGAAGCTTGGAGTCTTACCACTGGACCACCAGGGAAGTCCTATCTCTGGGCCTTTGAATTCACTCGTTATTCTCTCTGCCTGGAATTCATTTCTCCCGAATATCCATCTCAATATCTCGCCACCTCTGCTTTTATTCAAATGCCACCTTCTCAGTGAGGCTTCCTCTGGCCGCCCTGGCTTAAAGGACAACCCCTACATATCCCCCAGGCCTTTTCTTTATGTTTCTCTTTAGCTCTCAAGAGCATCTAATAATATATATTTCATTTGTTTGTATTGTTGCTTACTGTCTCTTTTTCCACTAGAATGTCATCTCCAAGGGAACAGAAGTTTTTGTCTGCTTTGCTCACTGCTGTATCCACAGGTCATGGAACAGTGAGTGACAAGTAGTTGCTCTAGATACTCACTGCAAAACAGGGTGAATGCATGGATGAACGAATGACATCCACCTCACCATGGGATAAAATCTGTAAAAGGCACTTTGAATGTATTCAACACTTAAATATTGATTGTTTCATATAAAAATTAGATTCACTTTTGGCTTTAGATAATTAATAGGTTGAATTTGAAATTGAAATTGAAATTGAAATTTTGGGCATGGATTATCAAAATAGAAAGTTTCACTTAAGACGGACTTTTCAACGAATTAAATTAGAATTCGGAGAAAACACAGGGTGACCCACTATTACATGAATTTGGATGCATCATAGGTGACAACTTCCCCAACCCCATCTCATTAATAACAGCCCACAGACAGGTATTGGTCATAGGGTCTGATGCCAGGATTGTAATGGATCCTTTGTCTGCATTGATAAGGAATTTAGAATATCATTTGTTTAACACATATTTCTAAATTATTAAAAACCATGGAATTTTTTTAAAAGAATGATGTTTCCTATAAACTAAGTGCCTGACAACATATTGATAGGCATTAATATCAAAGCACTTAGCACAAATGGAGGGTGCAGTGGTTAAGAATCCGCCTGCCAATGCAGGGGACACGGGTTCAAGCCCTGGTCCAGGAAGATCCCACATGCCGCAGAGCAACTAAGCCCGTGCACCACAACTACTGAGCCTGCGCTCTAGAGCCGGGGCTCCGCAACAAGAGAAGACACTGCAATGAGAAGCCCAAGCACCGCGAGGAAGAGTAGCTCCAGCTCGCCGCAACTAGAGAAAGCCCACACACAGCAACGAAAACCCAACAGAGCCAAAAATAAGTAAATAAATAAAAATTTTTAAAAAAGCACTTAGTACAAATGAAAATCTTTTATTTTTTGATTATCTCAAATGAAAGTTATTACATGCTACAAATTGGATACAACTCCACATTAAAATTTTATCCTTATCTGAAAAATAACATTTCAACATTAGAGGACATCTACTTAAGCACAATCCTTTGCAAGGGATTCTTGTTACAAAGTCCAAAGGGATTTGTGGGAAAATCACTTTTGCACTCTTAAAAATTCATTGATTATTCCTGTTAATTGAATGCATAAATCTAAAAGCAGCCAGCATTACTGAAGGAAATGAAATATTTTAAAAAATGATGACTTTCAATTTTAAAAATTAATATCGCGCATGCAAATCGTATCTTGCAGTGCCGCTAGAAAAGGGAAAATGTCCTAAGGAAGAATGTATTCTCCGATGGCAGGCAAATCCATGTTATGGCCATCCTCACATTTCTATGGAGTCATTTATTTAGGTTGATGGCCTGAAAGCAACAGATGTCTCTCATTATGAGTCGTAACAATGATGGGTCCATAAATCACAAAGTCTCACAGTTTCCTCCAGGGAGGTTCTTTGTCTTATTGCCAGAACCTTCTGCAGTTTGTACTGTGTCAGGCTCTTTAGTTTTCTCTACTTCTTAGCAAGATGGTTTACCAATACGACTTGTTTGGAGTTCTGGATGTCAGCACAGCTGGACTGAACAGAATCTTCCTGTTTGTAAGGGATAAAGTATGTCTCCTATAAAACAAGCCGAGACGAAATGGCTTGTTTGTGCCATTACCTGTATCACTACAGCAATGCTTTTCTTTTTTTTTTTTTTTCCGGTATGTGGGCCTCTCACTGTTGTGGCCTCTCCTGTTGCGGAGCACAGGCTCCAGACGCGCAGGCTCAGCGGCCATGGCTCACGGGCCCAGCCTCTCCGCGGCATGTGGGATCTTCCCGGACCGGGGCACGAACCCGTGTCCCCTGCATCGGCAGGCGGACTCTCAACCACTGCGCCACCAGGGAAGCCCAGCAATGCTTTTCAGTGCCACGTACAGGGGAAACCTTAGCTTAGAAACTCTTAGCTCACCAGGCATTTTTAAAGCTCATGAAAATTCCAATTTCCTGGGCTACTCCTGCTTCTGTTGTAGGAATTTTGCATTTGCTTTGACTATACGAGGCACCTGATAAACAGCTACTGAAGGAACGAATCAATGAGCTTCAGTCAGAAGAATCTAAGTCAACAAATATTTATTGAACAATCACTGCGTTCAAGACACTTGAGGCACTTAGATGAGCACTATGGACATAAAGGTTTAAATTTTTTTTCCAAATAACTCCACCCACTGAATATCCTTCTCATACGCAGACAATATTTCTAGGAATTTTCAGGGTGATTTAGAGAGAACATACTGAACAGAGACTACCACTCATGTATGTGAACCTGCCTTACTGTAGTAACATTGCCATGAATTGTATATTCAAATGCATTAATCTAGTTCTGTACCTTTTGCTTGAATTCAGGTGGGAGTAGGGGATTTGTGGTGGGAAGAAAGAAATCAACCAGACTGATTTCAACCACAGACCTGGAACATGATAATCAAGTGTAATTGTTTAAATATTCTGAAATATATGTGTATCAATGGCCTTTTCAACCAAGGGATTAGTTGGTATCATCACTGTGCTCTGGACATAATTGGGTTAAAGACACTGGACTGAGTCAAGAGTCCTGAGTTTACAGATAGGCTCTGCCCCCCACGAAACTGTGTGACTCAAATAGCTTACTTCTCTGGGCCTTAGGTTGTTCCTTCACCACATGTGGAACAGAAGAATCCTCATGTTTTCCTTCTGTTCTAACATCCTTTATTTCTAAGCATTAGTGTTGGAATGTCTTGATTTCATTACCAACTCTACCGTTAGCTAACTAGGTGACCATAACTATGTCCCTAACATTACCTACACCCACTTCCCGCCTTTGTTAAATGTAGATAAATAGCTAAATGGTATCCAAGATCACTTCCTATCTTAAGACTTCACAAATTTTGTCCCCTAACTGTAAAATTTCAACACTTAATTTTCAGCTTCACAAATAAAATTACAGGAAACTGAGCAAGGTCATCATATGATACTCAGTAACTGTTTTTGTTATATGGAAGGAATTATGGTCAAAGAACTGTCAGCTCATATGGGAAGAGCAGAAGCCATTGCCATTTCTTTTGAGCCCTGAAGTGTACTGAAATCTAGAATCCAGGATGCCAGTTATTCATCCTTTTAGCAAATATTTACTGAGTATTTAAGAAAAGCACAGTCAGATGAAATCAGACCAAGATGGTTTTGTGGACAGTTTCCTTTTTCTCTACAGAATCCACCTCTGTGCCCAGTCAGACACTTCCAACACCTTATCTCCTTCCTCTCACCCCATGAAAGCTAGTAGCATCATTCCCCTTCTTTAAAATCTTTCACTGTCTCCGGATGTCTACTGAAGAAATCCAAACTCTGTCAGAAACTCAATACCATTCATGATATAATTGTACTGGTTTTCACTGAGCATGAAGTTCCATTAGGTTAGAACTTCAGTCACTTAGATACGCAATTGAGAGTTCACAAAAAATAGAAGTGTTTTCAGGTGAACTGTATTAATCTGTAAAAAACATTTGATCACATTTATTTAATAATGATAGCTAATAATTAGTGAACATTTAATATTTGCCTGGGACTGTTCTAAGAACTCTGGGTATAGTACCTCTTTTAATCTCTTTATGATGACTCTCTGAAGTACATATTGTTATCATTTTGTAGCTGAGGAAACTGAGTCACAGAGAGGTTAAACAACGCGCCCAAGGTCACACGGTTAATAGTTGGTAGAGCTGAGATTCAAATTTGGGCAATCTGACTCCACTGTTGTATTAGCAACCTCTCTCTGCCTGGTATATGTAGGTTAGAAAACCGGCTTCACTTCCAGGAAACTTGCCAAGGTACATTTAGAGGAAAAAGATGTCCTCTGAACCACATTAGGGCAAACCTTGAGAGTGTGTGTCCCATGTGTCAAGCTTTAAACTAGAACAGCTTCATCTGAGAAGGATGGTAATTATTGTATGCCTACATTATCTTGTGTTTTAAGTTTTTAAAAGTTGCCAACATCGTTTGTTCTGAGCCATTATTCATGGTGAGTTCTGCTTGCTAAGGTAAAGGCACTTACTCTTACTGTATAAATAAAGTAACAGGAGACCTGCTTAATGAAGCTCATTTTAAAATATGCAAAATCCCTTATTTTTTCTTCCCTGAAAATAAGTTTAGCATACGATCTCTCAGCTCATTTCTCCATAGGGCACTAAATAGTTCAAGAAATCTATGTAAAAGTACTGTTGAGAGCAAAACAACTTTGTAAATAGAAGTAGGCTGACAATTCTTGATAATTCTGTATGGAACTTCCCAACAATCTCACTAAATTGATTGTAGTCAAAACCCTGGTTTCATACCCAAAAGGGCTTCTTCCTGTGACCAATAAACACAAGATAGACATCAACTCTACAAACAACAGTTTTACATACTGTTAAGGCCCAATTGTGGTGCCTGTTTGGCTCATTGTAAACAGTGTTATTAATTCATACGTTTAAAAATAAGTGGTTCCTCACATCATATTTAAAGATAAGAGGTGAAAGAAAGTGCCACCACCATTTTGAGAAACTGAGTATACAATTTACCTTGTGAAATATATGGCCTGCAACAGAGTTAACCATTGGGGTGAAGCATTCAGGGAAGACAATCCATACATAGGCCATGGATGCTTGAGAGCTAGGAGAGAAGTTTGCATGACCTCTGACCTCCCTTATTTGGGGAGAGCCATTCTCTACTCCTGCTTCTATGACTTAGTTTCTTGACAGCCTTCAAAAAGCAATTCATAAAGTAAAAGGCGAACAGAAGTTTTGCTAAATCCCAGTAAAAATAAAGGTTAAAAGTTATAAAATAGAAATAGATGAGGTTTTAAAAAGAAGATATAAGGCTAGAGCCAATGAGCTAAAAGGTTATAATTTTTTAATATAAAAAAGGTTACAATAAAAGGCTAAAGCCCATGAGATGAAACATTTAAAAGAATCACGTAAATTTGATCAAGGGTCAAGCACAGAAGCACTTAAAAATGAAAACTGTGCACTAAGAAAAGAAAACAATAAGAAAAATACATATACTTTAAAAATATAAAGGCAGAAATTTCAGAGATTAGGGAGACAAAGGAGAAAAATGGAAGGAAAGAAAAATTAGAGGGAAATAACCTACTTGAAGCAAACTCAGAGAAAGTGTTAGATTTCAGAGAACTTCAGTATCATTAGGTACCATCGTGTGGCACTGGGACAAGAGAGCTGTCCAAAGCTGTCTACCATTGCCCAGAGCCTCTAATCCCATCCAGGACCCAGGCAAAGCAGGAGCTCCTCACTGCTTTCAACTGGGAACCTTTAGGACCACACAATCCACTTTCAACATGGCCTCAGAAACTTCCCAAATCACCCTGGTTTCCACTTCATCAGGCAGCCTTACTGGCTGTGGGCTAGCTTAGCTTTTTGGTCAGAAAGACCTAAGTTATATTCCACTCTACTCCTTATGGACTGTGTGACTTTGGGCAAGTTTCTCAACTTCACTGAGTCCTGATATCCTTATCTGGGCTGTAAAATGATGAACAAACTAATAATAACATCAATAATAGCAATTCATCTGTGCCTCATTATTAGTATTTTTATTATTTTACTTCTTCTAGAGATAGTCCCTGCCAAGCACTATGCGATTTCCAGATGCGTCTTGTTAATCCTCACACCCACCTATGGTAACATTATTCATCCCAGGGTCAGTAACATCACCCAAGACTCCCATGTGTTCAGAGCATTTCCAGCTAGAAACTTAGAGAGCTTCTGTCACCAATGGCCTCTGTAGGTAACTCACACCTATGAATCTCAAATTACAATCCTCTATGGAGAGAAGGTGGGCAGCTGAGAAGAAAGCACAAGTCAAAGGAGGTAGAGTAAATTTTCCTGGATAGAAAGAGGCTTGGGACATGCTATACAAATCCTTTGTAGGATATTGAAATGCTAACTTATTATTTTATTTTCAACATTTCAGACTCTACCACATATGCACATTTTCTGTTCAATGCATTTGATACGGACCACAATGGAGCTGTAAGTTTTGAGGTAAGTCTTAGATTTTTTTTTTTTTTTTTAATACGCTTTGACTTTAGACACATTGAAAGGGATTTAGTGCTTCTAAGGTGAAAATTTGAGTTTGGTGGTGTAATTTTTTTTTTTTTTTTTTTTTTTGCTTTTTGAGCCTTTTATTCCTTTATTGTTATTATTATTATTGTAATAAGAACACTCAACAAGAGTAGGCATCCTTGCCCTGCTCCTAATCCTAGAAGGAAAGGTTTCTATTTTTCTCCATTGAAAGGTTTCTGTTTTTCTCCACTGAGTGTGATGTTAGCTATGGCCTTTTCATGTATGGCCTTTATTATGTAGAGATACTTTCCTTCTATTCCTAGTTGACAGTATATATCATGAAAGGATATTGAATTTGTCAGTCGATGCTTTTTCTGCATCTATTGGGATGATCATCTGATTTGTACCCTTAATTCTGTCAGTGTGGTATATCACATTAATTGATTTTCATATGTTGATTCAGCTTTCCATCCCAGGGATAAATTCTACTTGGTCATGGTGCATGATCTTTTTAATGTGCTGTTGGATTTGGTTTACTAGTGTTTTGTTGAGGATTTTTGCATCTATGTTTATCAGGAATATTGGCCTGTAGTTTTCTTGTGATGTCTTTGTCTGGCTTTGGCACCAGGGTAATGCTGACCTCATTTGGAAGTATTCCCTCCACATCAATTCTTTGAAAGAGTTTGAAAAGCATTGGTGTTAGTTCTTTAAATGTTTGGAAGAATTCACCAGTGAAGACATCTGCTGCTGGGCTTTTCTTTGTTGGGAGGTTTTCGATTACTGAGTCCATCTCCTAGTTATAGGTCTGTTCAGACTTTCTATTTCTTCATGATTCAATCTTGGTAAGTTGTGTGTGTGTATCTAGGAATTTATCCACTATTTTTTAGGTTATCCAATCTACGGGCACAGAATTTTTCATAGTAGTCTCTTATGATTCTTTTTATTTCTGTAACATCAGTTACAATATTTCCTCTTTCAGTTCTGATTTATTTTATTTGAGTCCTCTCTCTTTTTTTCTTAGTCCAGCTAAGGGTTTGTCAATTTTGTCTATCTTTTCAAAACACCAACTCTTGGTTTCATTGATTTTTTTTCTATTGTTTTTCTATTCTCTATTTTATTTATTTCTGCTCTAATTTTTGTTATTTCCTTTTTCTAATTTAAGCTTAGCTTGTGCTTTCTCTGTCTCTTTGAGGGATAAAGTTACATTGCTTATTTGAGACATCTCTCCTTTTTTTAATGTAGGCATCTATTGTTATAAACTTCTCTCTTAGTACTGCCTGATAATTTTTGAGGAGAGGAAAGAAAAAGCCTAAGAACAGTTACTTTCCCTCATTGTATTGTCAAGAAGCTGCTCTTATCTTTCAAAATAAGTGCGAATGACAACACACATTGAGTTTGCTTTCTAGTACTTTCTATGTGTTTATACAAGAAAAGTGCATTTTCCCAACTGCATGACAGCAAACCCAGAAAGCAAACAATTTAATTAATATTTACTGGCATCCACTGTGGGCCTATTACTGTGGTAGGCCTTGGAAATACAAAGCTGATAAAAACCCTGCTCTCGAAGGTCCGTAAGTGAGAGATAGAAGAAAGAAATTAAATATAACAAAATGCTGCATTCACCACACTGACAATTTTATAAGGAAATCCCTTTTCAAATTATGTACTTCAAGTGATTTGTATTTAATTTTGTTCATAAAATACTAAATGTAAGCATCAGTAAGATGAAATATGTCCTGAGTATTCACATAGCTAAATACATTATTTATTTATAATAGAATAATAATAAAATATATTTTATTTATATTTATTTATATATTTATTACATTTATTTATATATTATGTATTATTTTGTTTTATTATGTATATTTTATTTATATTACATGGGTAGAATGTGTAAATCATCTATTTGCTTATATTCTGAATGGCTGTGCTTTGTCTCTAGGGAGTAGAATTATTATCACTCTTTAATATATGTGTGATATTGCGATTTATAATAAGAAATATATATCCAAGAAAAGAAATATATATTTGGTCTTAGTCCCCAGTTTCTGACAAAGAGCTCTTAAAACATTGGGTTTTAAGTGAAGAGAACAACAAAGATGTCTTTTGTTATGTTAATGAGGTGAATTTTGAACCTCAGCTAGAGGTGGGGGCTGGTTGCCAGGAGAACCAACCACTTGATCATAGAGGGTTGGAACTTTCAGTCCCTCCGTCCTGTCCTCCTGAGAGGGGAGAGGAGCTAGAGACTGAGTTCAATCACCAATGGCCGATGATTTAATTAATCATGCCTCTGTAGTGAAGCCTCCTTAAAAACCCAAAAGGACAGGATTCAGAGAGCTTCCCAGCTGGTGAACACCTGGAGATTTAGGGAGAGCCGGGGGCTCTGAGAGGGCATGGAAGCTCAAGCCCTTTCCCCGTGCCTTGCTCTGTGCATCTCTTCCACTTGGATGTTCCTGAGATATATCCTCTTACAAAAAACAAGTAATCTAGTAAGTAAATGTTTCTCTGAGTTCTGTGAGCTGCTCTAGCAAAGTCATTGAACCCTAGAAAAGGTTTGTTGGAACCTCCAATCTGTAACCCATTGGTCAGAAGCACAGGTGACAACCTATACTTGCAAGTAGCATCTGAAGCTGGGGGCTGGGAGGGGCAATGATGTAGCATCTGGCTCTGTCTCCAGGTAGAAAGTATCAGCGTTAAGTTCAATTATAAGACACACGTCTGGTGTTGGAGAGAACTTGATGGTGTGAGGAAATCCCCACTCACACACTGGAATTGGGGGCAGAATTGTCACTGTTTATAATGGGAACCAGATAATTTAGAGGGTATGCATATTTAGGATTGGGAAGGGTGCATCTTACACATGAGCAGAAATTTCAGTGAGTGCCAGGATAAAGGAAAGCAGATGATGGTATGGAATCAACAAGGAAGGGCACTGGTGGGGCTGTATCAGGGAAGCCTGCTCATGGACTTGATGAACTAGGTCTGAAGGACAAGCCGGAGATGCTCAAGAGAATAATGGCTCAGGATGGGAAGCAGTGGGAGTGAGGCAGAGGCCTGGGAATGAAGAGAAAGCATTTGTAAACCACCTAGAAGGTGGAATGCAAAAGAGGAGGGTGACAGGAAAGCTGTGTAAGGAGGCGGAGGACAGATCCTGACACATCTGAGGCAGGATGCTAAGGAGGCTGAATTATCTTGCAGGAGGTGAGGCGCCCTTGGAGAATTTTCAGCGGGATGTTAAGGGATCAGGGCTGTGTTCCTAGAAACAAGTCCAATTAGCAGCTATTTATCCAAGAGTCCAGACAGGAGCTGATATTAGCCCAAACTACAGTTAAGGCATTGGAGAGGAGGAGACAAGTTCAAGAGATATTAAAATTAAATTGGTAGACTTACATTTCAACACTTTGTGGAGTCAGGATGACAAAAGGGAGGTGCAGCTTGCTGAGAGGTCATTCAGTTTGGCCCTGGGGCAGAGTGACCAGGGCAGCAAAGTGCTTCCTCACACATACTAGATGCTCTTAGAGATTGAGTGCTACTAAAATGAAGATTCTGGGCCAGGAAACTCAATGTGTCATCTCACAACTTGACCAAGAAATATCACCGGGAAAATAGGAGAAGCTGGCAGTGGTCAAGGCGAGGGCAGTTGGGTCGACTCCGATGTGGCAGCAGCAGTTAGTGGGGAAGACGTGAGATTGTCATAGGTACCAGTCCCCTGTAATGTTTCTTCCGATTTGGCAGCCTATGATCAACATCGTATTAGTGTCTGCTGCACTTTACCAACAAGATTAATTCCAGCACCGGCCTTAGTTTAGCCATAACATAAGAGTCAAACATTCCAGTTCACCTAATAAAACCTTTCATAGCTAGTTTGAGTAAGACAAAGACTGCTAGTGATTTCATTACTTGAACTTACTTAATGTATCAGAAACATTCCATCAATTACTTATAGCACATTGTATCCAATTTCACATGTAAATTTAGTCTGGTGTTAATGATATGGAACCATGCATAATGTCGCTATTGTAATACGTAATATTCGCCACAGTAATTGTGATGAATGCTGGTTAAAATTGGGGAAATTAGTTATAATGGCTATATACTATAAGCATGTTGGTAAAAAAATTGTTTTCTTTAAAGACAAACCAATGGTTAAATTAATAAATGTTAAATCAAAATTAAAACTATTGTAGTTGTTTCCAAATTGATTACCTACCTGAAAAGTCTCTAGAAAACAGAAATGATTAGGCAATGAACATATTTGGGGTAACAATAGCATCTTGGGAGGCACAGCAGAGACCATCCTGATTCTGAGATAAAGGGAAATGGAAGTTTCCTACTTAATTTGCTTAATTCCAAAGGGTAGAGTGAGTAAGACAGGAGGGGCCCTGGACCCAGATATGACGGGATCTAAAACCCCTTCACCACCAAGTGGCTGTGAGACCCTGGGCTGAGTCGTTCAACCCTCTGGGCTTAGTGTTCATCTCTGCGAATCATCAGCAAGCAAAGCTACTTCATAGGGTAAAGGAAGGATGACAAAGTGATGTCAGTTAGGGGCTTGGCTGAATGCCCGGCACCAAATATGTCCTCAGTATTTATTAGATGTTAACCGCAGTGGTTTCTACAAGGGAGATTTTTCTAACGAAGCCAGTTAAGAATGACATTGGTCATCTTATTACATAGTGATCTTATAACACTGAAAACATTCAAGCACAGGCCAGATGACTGCTCTGTCTGTGATGCTGTGAAAGATTGCTCTGCATCTGATTATAAAACAAGCACTTAATGTGTGTCAATCACTGTACTAAGTGTTTAAAAATAACATTAACAATAGTAACAGCTACACACAATAATACCAGCTGACCCTTGTTTAGCACTCATTATGAGTCAGGCATTGGGCTGAATGAATTACATATAGTAACTTGTCATTTTAGCAGATGAGGAAAGAGATTCACAGAGAAGTTAAGCAACCTGCCCAAGGT